TCATCTGGGAAATTTTGTGCCTTGGATGGATTGGACCGTCTAAAAAATACCACCTGGGTTACCCAACAGGTGGGCCATGACCACTCAGGTGGTGGGTCCACTGTCAAATGATCTGGCTAACATTTAGAGCTGTTTCTTGTCAAGATCTCTTAGCTAAAAAGACCCTTTTTCATAAATTTCTAAATATACCAAAAGTTTTGAACAGTATTCTGAACATGTCGGCATTGTCACGGGCTAAAAGGTAGATCGATGAATTTGGTGTAGTAAACCCGTGATTGAAGAATAATCAATCCAAGAAATACTGGTTTATTGGTTGAGGCTTATCGGCCGAAGAAGATAATGAAATCTGAAGATCAAGTACACATAGAAGAAAGAACAAAAATCAAGAAAGAAGATCTTGAAGAGAAGCGAAGCAAAGCCTTTTCTTTATTATAATCATGTTGTAAATTATCATTGTAAGCCCCTTACCTTAGATGTAGTCAAAGCTATAAAAGTATTGACATTTCACTCTTGTAAACTTCACTTTATATCCTACGGGATTGTAATATTTCCTACATAATACATTGAATAAATCACCTTGTTAAATCTTTTACATTATAAATTATTGTCAAATCACCAACGTCACGCCTCTGGCGAGTTGCCTTATCACCTAAAATTATATATTTTTGTATTTATCATATTAAAAGGATACAATTCACCCCGTAACAACATTAAAAATAATAATAATATAAAATACTGTTGAACCTCCCAAAACCGATATGCATGGTGGACAGATTTATATCAGTATTGAGAGGTTATCTGATTTGAAAACATTATAAACTATAGGGTTTATATAACAGAAACGGACTTGGTAGACTAATTTTTTATCAGGAGAGGATCGATTTTGGGAGGGTCAACAGTATATGTTGTATATCGGAATGGAATCTTGCTAGATTTAGAATCAACATAGGTTTATTCTAAATACACTCAAGTTGAAACGAAATTTTAACTTTACTCAAATTGTCAAAGAATTTCGAACTAACTTAAAGTTAATACTGAATCCATTTAGCGCATATTTAAAGCTATTCATGCATACAGTATATTCAATTTAAAGCTATTTATATATTCAAGTCGCAATTTCCAGCTATACTAATTATTATTATTACAATGTTTATAAATATTGTCATTTGACGTAAAACATATATTGATCGTACCGAATCAGCCAGAGAATCATTCAGCTATTTTTCAGTTGTCTGCAATAACATCCGGATCAGATGTAGATTAACTTGTGATGACTCGTGGATAACCCGCGGGACCCACACTACATTTGATTCAGCCGGCATTAAGATAGTTTTGGCCCATGAACAACATAGTTCGGGCCAGAACTATAGAATAATTTTATGCGATTAAAGAATAAAGTCCCGTTTAAAATTATAGTGCTTTGCAAAAAGATGTGACTACAAGATTTTTGTGATGATGATTTGGGAAATTTCTTAGATTTTAGATTGCATATTTTCGAACGGTTACGTTTGAAATCGATAAAATTCTTAAAATCGATAGCATTCCCAAATGACATTGTGATCTGCAAAGGACATCTTTTTGCAAAGAGCATGAGTTTTCGAAAAGTTAAGTTGAAAATAAAATCTACTTAACTATATTTATTTGATTATGATACATTAATTTTTAAAAATAATACACCCAATTTAATAATTGTATTGATTATTTTGACATTATGCTAAAATTTTTCTCATCTTTCTCATATCATCATTTAGATCTAAGCAATTTTTTTAAAAGGCTTTCATCTTTTTCATAGATAATTGACAGTCTTTGTAATGAGATTTCGCCACAAAAAAAAAAAAAAAAACTCATTTTGATTAAAATCGATTATCGATTATTCATCATAATAATATTCTCCGCTAAGATCCGCTCCGGATAATCAAACCACTTCTACATAGAACAAGCCAGAGAAACTTAAAGGGCAAATTTTCATTATATTATATGTACGTATGTACATTACATGATTATTATCCTAAAACGGTTTATTGGAAAAACTTTTTAATGTACAAAAAGTTTCAGAATCCGGAGAATACAGTATCACAATCTTTTTTATAATACAATTTCAATTGTCAAATATTAAAGTTATTCAATTTCATATGACGAGAATATATAGTACAATATATTTTTAACAGAAGGCTATACAACATTTTAATACTTTACAAACAGATAAAAACAATTATTGTTCAAGATTATGACCAGCCAGAAATACGAGTTTTTTTTTATTTATCTTATCTTTGATAATTTATATTTACAATATTGCTGTATTAGACAATATAAAATTAATTAATTGTTTCTCAATGTATGAATTTTTAAAAATGACCCGCCAACCGGCCTTTAATTTTTAACCATAAAAATCTCTCTTTTTTTTTTTTTAGAAAAATATAGAGTTTACCCAGTTTACTCGAAAGTTTTATTTATAGTAAATATAAATTTTTTTTTTCAAAGGATTTCACAAAAATTGGTTGCTTGCATACATAGCCTTAACCCTAATAATAATAATAATAATAATAAATAAATAAATAATTTCAGGTTTAAATTATAATGAAATGAAATATATAGGATTGACTTAACGAAGAAATGCAACGTGATCACAAATTCGGAAATAGAACCGACTCTAAATCTTTTGATAATTGAAGAAATAACTTATTTTAAAACGGCTAACTTTTTAACAAACAATGATTAAATTGTTCTCATTGTTTAAACTTAGAGAATTTGCCCAAACATGTCCTAACTTGAAGACGCCATCTTTACTTTTAATGACAACGAATCTAAGCGAGTATCTAAGTATCCAATAATATGATAACGCATATATTCCTAGATCATCTGACAACAGGAATATTTGTTGATGGTCACTAAAAAACAACCAAGTGACATTTTTGATAATGGCATTTCACATTAGTTCTCAAATGTAATACATTACTGATTTACCAAGTACAAACGAACGAAATTCGAATTGTACGAACGTCAAAAATTTTTTAATAATAGTAATAATTGTTTATTATATATATAATAATGGTTTGATGCAGTGTCAATATCACGTTATTAAAAAGACAGTGCGTATGATTAACATATATACATAAAACGCACGTTTTATGATTTTTTAAAATAGAATATTGGAGCTTGCCAACGAACAAAAGCAATCAGCTATTGTTGTGTCAATTATCATGTTTACGACTCATCAGAAAAAAAAAAAAGAAAAAAATACCGCATTTATCAGATATTCACATATTGATATTGACATGTATCACTGCGTAGTATCAACCGCCTGCCCATGCAGAATCATCATCAATTTCTAAAATTTAACATCATTCTTGATAAAAATGAGCATTGGCACGTGTAAAAATCTTTTATTGGAAGATAATTCATCAGAAGCATTGAGGCGACCTTTGTGGCTACTTTACATATTTCTACTATTTTAATTTTTTGTCATACATTATTGCAATATATATATCTGATATATATTGTAAATTATGTATATATATTATGTATGTATATTATGTATATTATGTATGTATAAATATTATGTATAAATATTATGTATATTATGTACAGTATAATATATATTCATAATATAAATATTTAATCATTGTATTATAAATGAATCTTTCTGCTTTAGTTTAGTTTGTTGGATTATGTAAATGGTGGTTCGTGTGATATGTTTGTTAATGGAGTTTTGTGTATTCTGTCACAAAAAACTACGCAACTTATTAATTACATACCGTTACATACCGATACATACGTACGTACGTACTTACTTATTAATTTTTGAAAAATTAAAATAGGAGTAGCGAAAATTATATAGATGGTTAAAGTGGTTAGAATAATAAATTTGTTTACTTATTGTGCTTTTAAGCGGAAATATTCTTTATTACATTGGGTAGCCAAGAATGTCTTGGACTATATGCAAATTGGTTATAATATTGGGGGACGAATATAAAAGTGGGTTAAGTTGTATGTTCAGTTTGACGCCGTAAATTACCAAGTTTGAATATTGTTTGATTCTTTTCGGTTGGATTACAGTGAACAATTTATGAAATTAATAAATATAAACAAATTGAAACTCGTTAGAACGAAGCAGTGCAAATTGATAAAGTTTCATTTAATCAAATGTAGTATCATAGGTGATACCAAAATCGATAAAGTTTATAAATTTGATCAAAATTTTCTGATTAAATATATGATTAAATATATTTATGCTGAGTTCTTTATCCGAAACATCAGCGAAAGGCATTTATAAAGACGATCTATCTAAATGAAGGAAATTAGTTGAACTTTGACGTTATTTGATTGTAAAAAAAAAAAAAAAAGCACAGGTAACTTATTTTGTAATCCGGACAAGCCCCTTTACTGCGGAAATTCATAATGATTGCAGCCATTGTCTTTGTTTTAAGAGCACACCAAGAATAAAAATGCGCATCAAAGATTGGATAAAAGCAGATAACAGGAATATGACAGGTCTATGCCATTGTATTATTTTGGTATTTATTTGTGCAGTTCTTTTTTGTTATCTGATATTCCTTCACATTTAATCAAGAAATGATATGCAAGGATAAACAAATTTGTTAAACCCTGATTTGATGCCCAAACAAGTAATGCAATGCGAAATATACGTTTCTTCCTGCAAATTGACATATTCTAACAATGACAACATTCAATACTTCAATACTTCAATACTTCAATACTGTAAATATGAATACAAGAACACAGCTTTTTAATTCATAATTATATACAATTTTCATATAATGATTCATATAATGATTCATATAGTGAATTTTTGTTGGTTTTTTTTTTATATACAGTCTATAATCTATAGTAAAAAAAAAAAATTCTAATCTACACTTAATTATTCTAAACTTAATTGACAATACTTAATTATTTTTGAACTTATTATTATTCTAATTTTCATATGTATTTTTTGCTGATTTTTTTTTTTTTTTATCATAATAGTGCCGTGTCAACGTCATCTACAACCCTAACGGCGCACCAACACTCCAACGTGACCAGCGTTTTCCTCGTATTAGTAATGTTGTCGTATTAGCAATGTTGACGCTGTCGACAATCAATCCTATAAGCCCAAGATTCTAACTTATCACAAATACGGATTGGTAGACAGTCGTATACACTAACCCTTTTTAAATTTTTTAAATTTTTGTGATTAGAACTTAGTAAAGGGGAGATCATCGAATTACTGATGTTGTAACAGTCAACTATATCTAATCTCTCTAATTTTGAACAAGATTTTAAAGTATCCCATTTACAACATCCTTCAAAATCGACACCTCGAAATCCGACATGCCGTAATGCATGTTTTTGTTTTTCTAAGGATGGAATTATAATATTGGCGAACGTTTTACATCTTGATAAAATTATACGTTTAAGTCCTCGTTGTTTTTCTATAAGTATAGCGAGTTTTTTTGCAACGAGAGTTGAAGATTCATCATTTACACTTAGATTATTGATTCTAATTGTGTTCTATGAAAATAATTATTAAAAAACAGGTTAATTAATATGATCTCAAAAAGAAAAAAAAAATAAATAATAATAATAATAATAATAATAAATAAATAAATAAAAGAAATTAATATATACCAAATGTTGACATTGCTTTATGAGCGCACCCAAAAGATTGACCTTTGGACAACTTTCAGCTAGTTTTAATCTATCAATTGAATAACAATTGATGTTTAAATTTTTCAGCGGGTTTATCAAAGGACAAATTGAGGGTTCGGCCAATAGCATATATTTTTCTTCACAATTAGAACTCCTAATACTAAGTGTGTTTAAGCGAGTAGACCTTGCAACAAATAATTTCAAAATTGATCGCAAAATTGCCGACACACTTTCGTCAGAATCATCATCCTCCAAGTTAAATTTACACCAACTTTTTACAAATGAAATCATTTCATGATAATCAAGATGTTTTATAAAGTTTGGATAATTAAAAACGGGTAAATCATATTTTCCTCCAGGGACATATACACCATCGTTATATAATTGTTGACGTTCAGGATTATGAAGACAAGAAAGAAAAGTTTGAATTAAAAGTTTTCCACCTCTTTTATGACAACGATGAAAAGGATGACGCCAAAGGATGGGTATAACACTCTCACACCAGTGACTATTGACTAATAAACATGAAAACAAATTACTGAAAGTTTTAGGATTCGGTGAACCAAGAATTTCATCTCGGTCATCCAAATATTCAAAAACTTCTGAAAGAATATCTGATATCAACATCAAAAATTTACTCTATTTTTATGTATATATTTTTAATATTTCTAAAAATTTAAAATTTTTTTTTGACAGGTTGTCAAGAAATTAAAAAAAGAAAAGAAAAAAAAATAAGGGTCTATATAATATATTATAACATTTTTTTTTTTTTTTTTTTTTTGAGCAGTAGTGCTCGGACAATGTCTGTTAAAGCAGCATCAAAATTTATTCAATTTATTCAAATATCAGGTTTATGTAATAGCGCGCTAAGATACACAAAGTTTCCATATATATAATGTCAGAATGTAATTAAAATACGAGACTGAAAAAAAAAAAAGAAATACAATATACTCACAATACAAATTTTTTTTTTTTTTTTTTTTTTTTTTTTTTTTTTTGCAGTATATAAAAGATTAGCAATACAGATACTATTTTAACATGTCAAACGTTGAATAGGATTAGTTTATGTGGCAAAATGGAGGGGACAAAGACTCTACAAGAAGAAATTGATCCCCAGCCCGCGCCAAAGTTTTTTTATGATAAATTTTTTTTTTTTATGCGGGGTAAAATAGGTCAGGTGGCCATTGTACATACTCCACTGGGCTTAATGCAGAATCATAATAGTTTTTTGATAATGGGCGTTTTCCCCTTTCTTGACGAATCATTTTAACCGATTTTTGCATTTTTTTTTTTTTTTAAAGAATACCTATCAAGACTCTAGCATTGGAAGAGAATAATCCGTACCTTACAATTAAAGCAAGAGAGATATAGCAATATACATTTACTTTCACATTTGTTGTACATAAAATGCGTATGTAATGTCACCATACATCTTTCAAATAAATGAAAGATCCTCTTAAAAGAAGAAAGAAGAAGTGTGTGCAAGATACACTAATGCATCTAAAGAAATAAAAAAAATTCCCCCTGCATCACAAATTTCCTTTTGCTTATCTGCATCGGAGGAATGATCTTTCTGTTATCTATTATTAAAACTGTCAATTTTCTTTTGACAGTTTGAAATAAAAAAAAAAAATTTATATCATTGAATGATTTTTGGTAATACCTATAACATCTTTACATACCCAAGTAAGTACGTACGTACGTACGTAACGTATGGATTCTACCGGAGTGATCACCGTGAACTTTACCGATGATCATGATGCAAGGGAAGGAATGCGTTAATAGATGACTGCAGTACCCAGGTTCTAACAATGGAAATTGTGGGGCATAAACAAATCTTTTCTTTTCTTTTATGTTGACTAAATTTGATTCTAATAACAGCATCATTTGTTTCGTAATTAATTACAAACCTTTACTCCACAAACATTATTATTAATCATAACAAGAACACAACTGTTATACCAAACATTATTTGAACTAATTAACATTTTTGTCTCTCTCTTCTTCCTTTTAGAGAACAAGATTCACGTTATTTGAATGAAAATAAAACCTTGTTTTGGGAGTTAGTATTTAATAATCTAAATAGGAAATGTTCCGTATTGTGATTCAGCTTGTATTTCCGTTCTCAACCGATAATGAATTTCTAATTGTAACTTTTTAATAGTAAGTTCTTATCACGTGATTAAGGTGAAAACAAGGAAATTTGACAATAGATTTGACAAGAGATTATCATGTAAAAAATTCTCCGTTCTTTTTCGACTCTGATGAAAAATCGACTTTAAACCCGAAAATTACTGTATATCCGGATATCACTTAAATGGATAACGAACATTCATAGATGTATGCTGCGTTACGTTTCAGTTACATATATGTATTCATACTAAATTAGATTGTTATTAATAGCCGTCAATTGCCGATCAAATAACATTTATCGTTATCCCTTCTTTTTAATACGTACAATAAACAACGGAAAATATGTGCGCCTATAAACTTGATTATATGCGTTTTAGTAAAAAAAATAGCATATATGTAATTTCAAACTATTTTCCCGATATAACTTTTTACTCATATGAAAGTTCTAAATCTTTTGAAGTTGTGTCAAAAAATTATATGCTGTACTTTTACGTATAAAAGGATAGAAAAAAAATTACACGAGTTTTTATTTCATTAAATCTCAATTTAATACAAAAATATTATATATATACTAAATATATATACATATATATATATTGTATTTACAGTATTACATTTAATTTTCATGAATGAGATCAAACTTATGTAATGGCAGATTAATCGCCAGTGAAGCAAATTTTGGTTGGTAAAATGTGTTATAAAAATTTATTTAATTATTTATTTAATTATTTAAATACAGATCCTAATATACATTAATACCGTATCGGGAATTATGCTGTCATTTTTCCGAGACCATTTGATACACCATTTGGTTTATTTGATCTGTTATTGAATTACAATTAAATTACAATAAATTACAATTAAATTACAATAAATTACAATTAAATTACAATAAATTACAATAACTTACAATAAATTACAATAAATTATATTTTAAATTATCATATATTTTTGTTGCCAAATATCATGTGTTTATGACTTTATAATAAATTCATTTTGATTTTAATCTGTTTCAATTGTTTCAATTGTTTCAATTATCAATTATCAATTGTTATTATTTGTTATTATTTGTAATTATTAATTGCCATCGTTTCAATTGTAATATTGTTGTTGGCTTCATAGAAAATTATTTCAAAGACGCAATTATGCATTACTTATGATAATCACTTTTACAAACAATAGATTTTTCGTAACCATTCTAAGCAGTTTGTTAATTTTCAAAAAATGCAAGGAATATCCGTGATGCAGTTATAAATCAACAAATAAAAACGTTTTCAATTTTTTTTGATTTGTGAATGTTTGATTATGTGAATTGCTCAGTGAAGTATGTACACATTTGGTATATAACTCTAATTGGCTGTCAATTTTATTGTATAATTTAAGACGTACAACGTACGTAAGTACAAAAGCTTACAATTACTCATTGTCATTTCTAAATTTCACCTTTCACTCAAAATATGTTGATTTAATAATCAACTGTATTACGTAATTTTCATCCCAAGGCTCAAATTATGATAAGCTTTAGTAAGAAATTTCCAAAATCATCAATTTTAATGTCCTACCGATTTATTTAAATATCTAGATTTAGAAATGGTTTTTTGAATTCTATTGTAGTTTGTCGAGAAATTTTTTGATTCATAAAAATTAAAATCGTATATTATATATTGTATATCTATTCTCATCAAACGAAATTATATGCTAACAATTTAAATAACGATAACAAAAATGTTAAAATTTTATTTATGCATTATTTTGTCTTACGTGAGATGGTCACGTGCATGATCAAGTATATGCGTGATTTTTTCATGCCTTTCACATCGACTCCGAGTTATTATTATATATAGATAGGTTAGGTAGGTTACACGATAGGAATGCGTAGTCAACATATAAAAAATTTGGTCTTAGTTTGTTATTTTTGGTCAAATTTGGAAAATTTATTATTAAAAAAAGGAAATGCCGCTACGCATACATTTGCTCGGGTCCTGTTCAAATTTACAAATTCATGTAACGTCCTGTAAAAAAATAAGGAACTTTTGACATTCTTTTACTAAATACTAAGATGACATAATAGAATGACATTGAAATACAGTACTTCGAATTGGTGTTTCACAAAAAGAATCTAAAATAGATATCCCTCAGCGGACTCATGGAATTATATCTTTTGCTTAGGATTAAAATCAATGCTTCTATGCATAGGGCTATTACCCGGGTCAGAAAATAATAACCCGGGTCATGACCCGGGTTAACGAGTCATATGGAAATCACAAACATTTAAAGTTAACGTAAGTTGATGTAACGACTCCTTATTTAGAGCCATTACCTGAGTCAATAGTTATATAGGTTACTCGAGAGAGTTTAAAGAGTAGAATTTATTGAATTTTATAATTTTATGTTGTGCCTGTTATATTATCAATGTATAACAAATACTTAAATCGGAACTTTTTAGAATTTGTATCCAAAAAAGCTCTCAATTTGTTAGTACGTACTGTACATATAACTAGATTTTATTTATACACGTTACTCTGGATATATCAACAATTTTTATTCATAAGTATAAAAATTCAAAATGTCGATACAGTAAGTTATACCGACATTTTATATTAACATTTCGAAAAATTTTGAGAAAAATATGGGGTCTTTGCCTTGAAAATGACCTTACGGTACATGATACCGTAAGGTCATTTTCAAGGCAAAGACCCCATATGTCAATATAGAAGACTTTACTATGATGTCATTATATCCTGATGTCGGTATAACGTGACTCGTTAGCTCAATTATTGACCTGTGACTAGTGATGCAGGCGAATCGTCCCAATGATGCCGTAACTTTTGCCGTAAATTGTCGTAACTATCTTTGTAACATGTAATTATATATTATAATGAATTACGACATTTTTGCCGTAACCTTATTATCTGTTATGTTACGACAAGTTACAGCAAAAGTTACGGCAAGTTACGACAATTCATCTGCGCCTCTACCTGTGACCCGTCAAGAATTGACCCTTAGAAGTAAATCTAGTTAAATTGGAAAGGTTTTAAATCATAAAAATATTAGGGATTTAAATTAATTGTTATTGTGAGTTTATTAAAGTCTAAGAAAGATTTGGAAGCAGTGGTTGGAATCGATGAATTTCAAGAGTTAATTTGTCATAAACTTGAATTTTTTTGAACATCGATGAACTATTTTTTTAAAACAATAAAGTCAAGTTTCTCGATAGATTTTTATCCTTCTACTGTATATACACACTGTATGTTTCAAAATTTATTGCGTATTTATCTAATTTTTTATATTTTTTTATATATATATATATGATCGATGCTCGTGAACAAAAAACATTGTTCCCGACCCATTTTCATTGACCACTCAAAAAAATAAAAAATAAAAATAATATAAAAAATAAAATAAAATAAAAAATAAAATAAAATAAAAAATAAAATAAAAATAAAAAATAAAATAAAAATAAAAAATAAAATAAAAATAAAAAATAAAATAAAAATAAAAAAATGATCGCGGATCAAAATCGAATCAAGCACGACATCACAATAATACAAGGAATTCGGTCTTCGAATAGATATGAAGTATCCGCAATTCATCTTCTTAAACGCACCTAGTATCGCCACCACGATCAGTTACATAATCGCTTTTTAAATTTCAATCTGCGAACAAGAATAACAGAATCACGAGATCACGAGAATTTTGAAGAAATAATTGAAGTTTTTTTATATTTTATTCAACTTATTAGAATTTATTTAATTTAATTATCCAAATTCTAAGTCAAAATACATTCGATTCGAATGTACAAAATGCATTTACATCCAGATTCAAATTTTATTTAATATACGTATAAAGCTTAAATTTTATTTAAGCTTTAAATTTTATTTAATACACGTATAAAGCTTTAAATTTTGTTTATTACACGTATAAAGCTTTAAATTTGAATTTAATACTACCAATAAAAGGTGTTTTTGTTACGTCCACTCCAAGTTTTTGGAAGCTTTTTTGCTCGTTCGAAATCTTTAATGTCATCTACCATTTTCTGAATAAGTTTAAGGTTCGATTCAATACTTCGAAGCCATTTTTTTGGGGGGGAAGATTATTGGACTTTTCAAGACAATCAAGCGCCTAAAACATAAAATTAATAAATATATTTATTTAAACAGAAATATTAAAAAAAAAATCCTTTTATACTTCGTGAAGAGTCTTTTTGTATTTTCCAAAATTTCAGATTCGGATTCACTACCTCAGTACTCGATTTCTCATTATCTATATTCTGGTTTTCTGAATTTACCAGATCAATCGTTAAGTTGACTTGTGTGCAGTGTTTAAAATTCAATGTTCTCATGATTATTGGAGAACACTCAAATTTTTCAAGAACATTAATAAATAATATAGTGTTCTCTTAATTGAGAACATTTTTTATCAATAAAATGTTCTCAAAAAGAACATTAATAATTTTTTTTTGTTCTCAATTTTATTATTAAAAACAAATAAGCTAATATATTTATTTAAATTCTAAAGTTATAATTAAATTTTATTACATATCATTATATACAGTGTTTAAAATTCAATGTTTTCAATATTTTTAAAATTCAGATAAATAAATATTGGGTATACAACTAAATACAGCATAACTATATTGATATGAAACACTATAATTTAAACAAACAAAAAATTTCATAAGTA